GGCAAAGAAGGGTATTGATTTTGATGAAATCTTTTCACAGTTGTGAAAATGACATCCATATCAAAACAGTGTCGGAATGGCGCCAGTTTTAATCTGGAAAAATCGAAGGCAAATGGATGTGAAGGGAACTGCCTTTCTACATTGGTTGACTTTGCGAAGAATAAATATTACATGGAAGCAAGCCAGACTTCCTACATGGAGATTTGGAAGAAGAAATATACATGGGGCAGTCAGAGGTTTCGTAGGAAAAGAGGATTGTGTTTGCAAATTGAAGAAGAGCCTGTACGGCTTGAAGCAGGCACCGAGACAGTGGTACAAGAAGTTTGAGTCTATTATGGGGAGCATGGCTACAGAAAGACTACTTCAGATCACTGTGTTTCTATGAAGAAATTCTCTGATGATGACTATATTCTTTTTTGCTCTATGTGGTTGGTATGTTGATTGTTGGTCATAATTAATAGCTTGAAGAAATAGCTAAGTAAGTCTTTTGCTATGAAAGACTTGGGACCAGCAAAGCAAATTGTTGGCATGAAGATTACAAGGAATCGAAGATCCAAGAAATTATGGTTGTCACAGGAGAAGAACATTGAGAAAGTACTTCAAATGTTTAAAATGGAGAATGCGGTTCAGTTGCCCTTCTTGCTAATCAATTTAAATTAGCTCAAAACAGTGCCCTATCTACGATGGAGAGAAGGAAGGATGGAGAGAAGGAAGAAATGGAAAAGATTTCATATGCTTCAGTAGTTGGAAGCTTGATGTATGCCATGGTTTATACACGGCCAGATATTGCTCACTCAGTCAGAGTAGTGAGTCAGTTTCTTTCAAAGCCTGGAAGGGAAAATTGGACTGCAGTGAAATGGATTTTCAGGATATCCAATCATATTTGCAGGGGGAGCCGTGTTGTGGCAGTTAAGATTACTAAAGCGTGCAAGGAGTTACTGTGGATGAAGAAGTTCTTGAATGAACTCGGAATTCATCAAGAACGATATTTGATATTCTGCAATAGCCAGAGTGCGATTCATCTTGGCAATTCAAGATTGCAAAAATATGTTGCTTCTATCAACAACTGAGGCAGAATTCATAGCACTAACAAGAAGCTTGCAAGGAGTTCTGTGGATGGAAGAAGTTCTTTGAATGAACTCGAAATTCATCAAGAACGATATTTGATATTCTGCAATAAGCCAGAGTGCCGATTCATCTCGGGGGAAGAATTCCTTCCTTTCATCCAATAATCAATAGCACATTTGATGTTAGATATCATTAGATCAGCGATGTACTGGAGATAAGCAGTTGCACAGCTTGAGAAGATCCATACAGATGGAAAATGGATCACGATATAGTTAACAAAGATTCGTTCCAAAAACCAAGTTGAACTATTGTCGATTTGAATATTGTCGATTAGCTGCAGGGATGATGGAGAGCATGGCTAACGTCCCCACTTGAGTGTGCAGGGGGAGATTTGTTGTGGCAGTGCCCACTCAAGTGTGACCTGCACATTGTTTTGTTATTGGTGTGGCGGTGCCCACTCAAGTGGGACCCGAACATTGTTTTGTAATTGGTGTGGCAGTGCCCACTCAGTGGGATCCACACACGTGATGAAAGAAAAAAAAGGGGAGAAAACACGTTTTATACGCGTCTTCCTCTCCTATAAATAGGAGAGGATTTGCCTCATTTGAAACATACCAAGAAGCGATTGAAATCGCATAGTTTGAGAGTTAGTTAGTTTTAAGAAAGGGTTCTTAAAACTAAGGGTTTAGAAAAATAGTGAAGTTTATTGAGGTGTTTTTGAGAAATAATTTTTGAGTGCCACTATTTTTGTATTACTCTCTTTGTAAGCCTACTATTTTTAATAGTGGAAGAAATATTCAGAGTTGGTCCCGTGGACGTAGCCCTAAACAATATTTCAGAAGAGTTGGTCCCAGTGGACGTAGCCCTAAACAGTTTAAAGGTGAACCACGTAAATTTTCTGTAAGTGGTGTTCCCATTTTCTATAGTTGGTCCCGTGGACGTAGCCCTAAACAGTTAAAGGTGAACCACGTAAATTTCTGTGTGTCCCATTTCTATTTTTCCGCTGCCGTAATTATTTTTCGTAATTTTATTGCCAGTGCCCTAACAAATGGTTTTGAGAATTGAGCCTTTTTAAACCGTTCAAAGTCTCATTCTAACATATATTCTCTACTCTTCATACTAAAATAAAGCCCCTCGAAAAGGAATCAACAAAAAACAATACTGTAATGCGGCACTAAGTATTTGACAAAAAAAAGTATTATTTAGTCATTTTAATTTTTTCAAACTAACTACTTCGTTGTTTCTGTTTCAGAGAACCAACTAAAAGGTCCCTTAATAAAATTTACCAACTACCACTTGGTCTATAGAGATGAAATCGTTAGATCCCTTAAACAACATTGAGGATTCGAATTCTGGTGCAGTGAATGGAAAAAAACTGGTTGAAAGCATCGCCCCTATAATAGAGGTTGGAAGGGTCGCTTCCATAACGAGCCTACGCATAACACGAATTCGGATTGAATCCTGTGGAAAAAACTGGTTGAAAGCATCGCCCTCATAATCGAGATTGGAAGGGTCGCTTCCATAATGAGCCTACGCATAATACGAATTCGGATTAGATAATGAGCCTGCGCATAACACGAAATAAACTTATTAACTTATACAAGGGAGGAGAATAAGAAAGATGATGGAGTAACAAAATCATCTAAACGACGAGTCATCTAAAGTTGATTCAATTTTGACGATCCATTTTCTCTCAATGCATTTCTTCGGATCAATATTCTCAGAGGAACCTGATTCTCCAAAATCCAAACACAAATCCAAATCCCGCAATAATCAACCCCAAGATGATTCAGATCCAGACTCCTCGCCTAATCCTAAACTAAAAACACTGATTGTGGCAGTAGTGAGAGTGGAGGTGCATGGAGCTTTGGAGGTCTTATGCAATTCCAAAAACCAAATTTGAATCTGTAATCGAAATTTACCGCCTTGACATAAAGGAATTTGGGTCGGGCCTAAAGAAGGAGACCAAGGTAGCCCATGGATCGTTAGAGATTATGGGGCACGACATTGATGAGATTGCTAGCTCTGTGTTGAAAGGAACTGCCCAGTTCATTCTCTAAGGCACGGAAGCAATCATAGCTACCAATCACGAATCCAGTTCACCTGATAATATTGAGAAAAGCATTGCTAGTAAACAAAGCTTGAAATCGAAACCTTATAACCGCTTTGATGCTCAGGTATGGGCGATTCAAGGCAATGCGACTACATACAGTGATTTGAATGATTATAGAAATAGAAATTAGGATTCGTTTTGGAAAAGAAGAGAAAGAGAGTTGAAAATTTGCTTGATGAGAATGGTGCCATAGAGAACATATTTTGGGTACCGCTACGATGGTGATGATTGCATCAATAAAGGAGGATTACATTGTGTAGTGTGCTTGTGCATGCCAAGAGAGGGTGACCAGGTTTAGGAAGCTTGGTTTCACAAGGACTGCTTTGATGAGAGGACATATTCGTCTTTTCGCTTTAGACTAATTGCAAAAAAGGACTCATTTTGGACAGAAAGACTTTCTGGTCGGAAGAAAGTAAATTACTGAAACCATTTAATTGGTTGTCTGGAACAGGGGACAAAGTAGTTAATTTAACAAAACCAGAGGGATTCAATAGTACTTTTCTTAAATATTTTTTGTCAGGAGTATTGTAATGTTTCTTAATTTATAATGAATGTTTTTACATATTTCCATCAATATATGGCTATTTTTCTTTCAGCTTAACTTCTGTAATTTTTGATAAATTAGATTATATGATTTTGGCTTGATTTGATTTTATGCTGAAAGTAAAAAAAAAATGTTCGGTTTGATTTTTTTTTATTTTTTTCCCCTCATCTATGCTTTTTTTTTTTTTTTAAGGCAATTCTCTCATCTGCGCTTTATATGTATGAATAACAGGAAAATGACAATTTTCAGATGAAAGTCCATTTTATGCAAGGGAATTAAACATCATGGACATTTAAATTAATTTTTACAAATGTAGGAACAAAGTACTGAATTACGTAAAATATTAGAGACTAAAAAAAAATTTTTTTCCCCATAATAATTATTATTTAAAACCTTTAACTATTTATTTTATTTAAGAAATCACAATACAATATTTATTTTTCAATCGGGGCTGAAATCCTCGCTTCTTATACTAATTGTTTCAAAAATACCAAATCTAAAAGCTAACCTCTCGTTACCAATAGTAGTGCATTTAGCTTTCACATTGAAATTGCTGTTGAAAACAACACACTAAATGTTAAAAAAACTTATAAAAAAAAAAAATTAAGAACGCCATTTAACTGTTTCAAAACTCGTATGATCGAAAATAAATTTTACGACGGAACTCGAAGAGCGTGGAGCTCTTCCCACAGCACTTTAGGCTGCGTACATGATGATGATCTTCATGAAAATAAAATGTCTAGAATGAGGAGATGCTCTGAATCTGAAAATAAAGCCCTCTATCAAAATATTTCTGAAATGTTGTTCAAAAAAAAAAAAAAAAAAAAAACAACTTTAGGCTGCGTACATGGATTGATTGATCTTCATGAAAATAAAATGGTCTAGAATGAGGAGATGCTCTGGAATCGAAAATAAAGCCTCTATCAAATAATATTTCTGAAATGTTTGTTCAAAAAAAAAAAAAAAAAAAAAAAAAGACTGAAAAAACGCATCACACTTAACAAACAAAGAGCTCAAAAATAATGTAAGGGACCAAATTTGAAAAAGGAAAAAGGAAACAATGGACAGAGGCAATCACAAGTGGAGAAAATTAATTTTAAACAAAGCAAAGAAGACGAGAGTAACAAATTTGAAATCCTCATTCAACATTAAAATATAGACACACAATAATCAGTCAACCAGGGTTGGCGGCTAGTTAAAGCAAAAAAAAAAAAAAAAAAAAAAGACTGAAACGCATCAACTAACAACAAAGAGCCAAAAATAATGTAAGACAAATTGAAAAAGGGAAAAAGGAAAACAATGGACAGAGGCAATCACAAGTGAGAAAATAATTTAACAAAGCAAAGAAGACGAGAGTAACAAAATTGAAATCCTCATCAACTAAATATAGACACAAATAATCAGTCCAACCAGGATTGCCGGCTAGGTAAAGTGCTCCTTTGTATGGTTGCATTTGCTATTCACTCAAATTACTTGCCTTTTCCCTTACCAAGAAATCGGCATGCAGTGTGCAGATGACCTCTGTTAATTGCAATTTGAACGTCGCATCGTCGCTTTCCAGGAAAATGAGTCCATGAAATGCTTTTGGTAATATAATTGATCACATAATGACACACGAGCAGCTTCTTTCGTTTCCATTCTCAAATTCATCATCTGATAAACCAGTTTCACTGCCATGGCATCAATTTCAGAATTAGAACTTTGCCGCTAACAGAACAGAAATGTGATACTGACATAACATTCAAATTTGGTAATATCTCTTCTCCTATCACAATTTTTAAAATGAAAATGAAATACAGAACAAGAAATTTTGGATGCAGAAAGCAAGACTTTTACTCACAGCGTTAGACGATAATGTTTTACATATGAAGCACAGGCATATTTCACAGTTCACAACCAGAAATATGAGACCACATTTGAATGGGATACTAGTTACTCCACATTTGCTGTTTTCTTAATTTTATTTCATACTTTCTAACTTTAATTGAAAAATAATTTAAAAAAAAAAAAAAAAAAACTGCTCCAGGACACTAGTATCCTAAGATAAACTCAACAATATACCCCCACTTCTACTAAAGACCATTTTGACAAAAATCCCACTAGAAAATACCGATTGGAAACCCAAAAAATTCAAAAGCTTAAACATTTAAAGTAGTAAGACCAGGATATTAATTAACCAGTAACTCAAATATAGCTTCTCAAGTTCATCCTAATAACATAAGTGCTTCTTAGTGCATTTCAATAAGAAAACCTCACATGCAATATGAAAGCAAAATATGGCTCTAAATAACTAGACGCTTAAACAGGAATCATTTCTGACATGTACTGGCTTTTGTGCTCTGCTGGGTCTCTGACATCCTCTTGATGACCTATGTTGTGTTGAAGGGATATCTATATTACACAAATACTTTTTGCCTTTTGTGTTGCTGGCAATAATGGCAATGCCCCGTGCTATCTGTTTCCTATGTATTTCCGATCCTTCAGGCCCTTAAACAAATTGTAGAAAAGACACACCAATTCCTAGATTAACAATGATCGACAGGAGTTCAAATTTAATGCCTAAGAAAAAGTCCCATGTTAGTTACTAATATCTTCACGCATCAAGGCCACCATAACATACTGAGATTCTTCTGACTCCCATCCTTTTACACACATTGGAAGAGTAAGTCAAATCAACATTGTAAAAAGACCCTAATTTCTATGGTATGGTAAATTATCATTATTATGGTGCCTCTTGGTGAGGTTATAAAGAGAAAGCAATGACATGCATCAAACACAGTAGTTCGCGAAAATTTTAATTGCCTTATTGTACTTCATAGAAACTTTTTTGGTACATCAAATTATGAATCAGACCATAATATTTGGGGCCAGTATAAAAACGAAATACAAATGAATCAAATTTGAAACGATCACATGCATGAAACTGATATTGAATTTCATAAAATCACAATCACAGAAAAGCTCGCCATTTTTTTTTCCTAATCCTTAAAGTCTCATATGTAACACGGCACCATAAAGTTATGAGAACAGTTCATGCATTCGTCAAAACAATTTAATTAATACACATAATGCTTCGGATAACAAGATAACATCTACACTGAAGATGTTACCAAGCATTGTTGCTCCAAAGCTTGATTCAAATTCAGGATACAGGACCTCTTAAATTACAACTGAGATTCATACAAAAATGTGTTCCTTTTACTGTTTCACCATCCCGTCACTACTTGAGACCATGCTCAACTCCTACCTATTCTGAACCTCATTCTGCTGCAACTACTTTTCCTATTTTTCCTTTGGGCCAAAAAGTCATGCCCATCAAAAAATGGTTAGTCTAATAGGCCAACCAATCAGCACATAATTCGCCTCCATGAAATTGTATTCTAAATTCTCTCCCTGCTCTTTGGACAATAGCTGCTTAATGTGATGTATAAGAAGACTATTTGAACCATTAGGAGTGTACTCACCCTCCAGGAGTTTGAGAAACTTAAAGAATCCCCAAATGATCTCATAAAATATCTGATTTGAAGTTAAACTTATCTTTATTATGTAACCCATTTGCTGACGAGTTGAGAGAACATGCCACTGTTATATTTCAACCACAATCATAAACCTTTGGAGACTCTCACATTATGTTACAACAAGATTGACTAAACTAGCTGGAAATTTTATTTCTTTACTTCTCAGGTAATGGAAAATTAATTCTGAGCATCATCAGATGATGAGAATGCCCTGATCAGCCGATTCTCTTAAGATTGTATCAACAGTTCTACATATGTGTAAACACTTCTTATAAATAGAATTTAGAAGTACCAAATCTAATAAGATATACTAATAAAAAGAGGATGAATTTGCTTAGAAATCTGAAACGTATTTGAACATAGCAAAAACTAATAAACAAGGTGACTTACATAAATAACCAAGAAACTCAAAAGCATAGTGGTATCATCGTCATGCACACATATACAGTTTATGCTCATGATGCAATTGCAAGCACAAGATTTCACATATAAAAGAGATGTCAATGCGATACTTATTGACATACTTGAAATATGAATTAACTTAATGCATTGCTCATAATATTCCAACTTGAAATAAGAACATCCCCATACCTTGGCTCAAACTCCCTGATTTCAGCAAGTTCACTCCCACAGACATCTGTCCACTGCACTTTTCTCTTTTCTGTGTGACCACGGATATCAGTACCCTTGTCACCCAATGCATCGTGTTGATTACCATCGTCAACAGGACTTGGGACACTATTTGATCGCTTCTTCAAGCTACTCTTTAGATTAACTCTTCTTGCGTTACTATTAACCTCAATTTCAGTTGTACCATCTTTGCCCTTATCAGTAACAAGTGGATCCGGCAAGACATCCTGCTGCTGGGCAGGGCCTACTTTGAGAGGCGATGAAGAATCAAGCCCTGCGGAAGCGCGACCAAAGCACACAAAGGAGGCGCACCCGCGGGAAAGCCTGTTCTTCAAGGAAGCCAGCTGGAGGTCAGGATCAGGTTCGTTTTCCACCAACTGGTACTGATTCCACGGCGAAACTCTCATGGGTTTATCTTCGTGCTTCTGACCCAAGAGAAGAAGGGTCAGGCCCTTGCTATACCCAGAAGCTGAAGAAGAGAAGAACCCTCCTCCTTCCACTGCCAATAACATCAGTTCTAATCATCTGGTCACCAAAATATATAGTTTCGCTGTAGCTCTCCTGCCCTTTTGCAGTAATAATTACACCAGTCCTTCAAACACCCATATCTCACAGTCAGAACTCCAAAAGCCAGAAAAAGGAATATATTATCACATACACACACAGAGAGAGGGAGAGAGGGAGAGAGAGAGACAGAGAGAGGGGGAGACAGAAATTAAAATGATAATAACAACAAAAATCAGAATTCTGAAGTTTGCAGGGGATACTATGAACCAATTTCCCACTAACAAATAAGTTCAACGCATGGCAGTTGATCTGATGGATTTCAAAGTTTAATAATCCTAAGCGTGGAACCCCATCAACCATCTCATTACCAGAAACTTTAAATCTCAAAACCATAAAAGAAAGAAACAACCCACCAATAAAACAGTGGCAAAGAAAATTGCACTAATTTGAAATCTTAGCAAAGCACCAACCAATCACAGCTAGAAAATTCTTAAATTCCAGTGGATACTAAGTCATATCAGATATAGTCAACAACAGACCAGGTAAAAGAACAGGGAATTGGCAATTTGATCTTGAGCTATGACAAACCTAACCAGCATGTCAATATAACTTAAAATGCTTATTAAAAAACATAATGGAGATGCATAAAATACTAAACACCACCATTAATCATTAACTACCTCGAAATACACTAGAAGACGCTGAACAACAACAATGGCGGAACCAAACAGTTTCGGTCGGTGATCTAAACGCAATAACAAGTAAAAATTGAAATAAACAATTCGTTCTTAAATCTTTCAAGGAAAATACATAATTCCTGTAAATCAATAATAAATTTAACTAAAAAAAATCCTCAGTTAACAACCAGAAAAAGAACCTAACGATCTATCATTTCAAAAACAAAATTTGCTTAACATGCATCGCTTGACTTCACATCTTCTTTAAAGCTCAGTTTGGAATCTACAGCGAAAGTGGAACAATAATTGCAAAATCTAAGAGTTCGTAAAAACCAAACTTTCTTTAGTCATTTTCACTGACAAATTAAATTTACTTTCTCGGGAAACTAAGAGAAAATCCGATACCTGAAGGTGACGCCACAGATCTGAGAGAGAGATTCTCGGAGTCTAAAACGGCGGCGCCGGCATGTCGGCTCTAAATAAATCGGCGAGAATTGGAGAGGGAAAATAAAAACCGAAACGAGAATAATAAATAAAAAGGAAAATAACGAAATGAATGAAGAAAAATAAAAAGAAAAGTAAAAAAGATTAGGCTGACTACTGGTCCGAATTATTTAAAGAACGATAGGGATAGTGACTCCATGGCGCATGATAGTGATGGGTCCCTTTTTATATTATTATGTTTTATTTCCAATTTTTAATTTTTTAATAATTCATTATCTTTTTTAAAAAATTTTTGCTTCTCCTCTAATCACTTTTTGGGAAAGTAATTATAGAAGGGAAAGCATGCTTTTGTTTGGTTGCCTATGGCAGCTCTTTTGAGTCCACTCCTTTAACTAACTAATTAATTAATTAATTTAATACATTAACTGCATCTATCTTCTTCATCTTTGACTCTTTTCAGGAGTGCTTTTATTAAAAACTTTTAATGAATGCAAAACATTACTTATACTCCTCTTTTCATGGCAAATAAATAAATAGGTAAATGCTAAGCCTAAATTTTGATTTTTTTGATTTTTTTATTTTAGCTAAACTTTTTAATTCTGTCAATTGTAGCAGTGAATTTTTTATTTATTTTTTTGGTAATTATAAATTATTGATGTTGCAGTTAATAGGATTCATAATTTGACACCATTAGTACCTCATCACCACACCGTATAAAAAAATCTACATTATTAAAAAGAAGTTTAAACTTTGACTTTTTTTATTTTATCTAACTTTTAATTTTAACAATTGATGTTGTGAATTTATTGCTTTTTCTTGATCTTTTTCTGAAATCATTTAATTTTAAAATTTATTTATTTTAAAAATAAATTATTTTGGGTTATGATAATTTATGTTTTAATTTCAAAATTTTCAAATTTAAGTTAAATGGAAGATAGATAGTGTACTCTTGTGTTATAATGTTATTTTAGTATTTTGAAATTAAAATTTATTGCTTTTTCTTGATCTTTTTCTGAAATCATTTAATTTTTAAAAATTTTATTTATTTTAAAAAATAATTATTTTGGGGTTTGATAATTATGTTTTTATTTTCAAAATTTTCAAATTAAGTTATCAAAATTTTCAAATTTAAGTTAAATGGAAGATAGATAGTGTACTCTTGTGTTATAATGTTATTTTAGTATTTTGAAATTAAATTCTTATTTTTATATAGTATATTAATCATTAATAATTAAATAATAAATTTCAGATAATAAATTTTACATGATAGAGTAATATGATTTAATTTGGAGAATCGGTAATTGGCGTTCGTACTTCACACGACTGTATAATGTTTTTTTTTTTTAGGTGTAAAATATGTGTATCAAATAAATTATTAAAAAAATAAGGTGCATATGATGCATGTACAATATGATTTAAATAAATTTTTTATGCTAAAAGTGAAGCATCACTTTTAATATCATGTAAAGAAAAATAAGAAGACAAAAAGGTTAAATCATAAAAGAATATTAAAAGTCACTGTGTTTAAAACATAAAAATCATTAATAAGAAAATAATTTTTAAAGAGCTATTATATGTAAAATTCATAAAATTTATAAATCAGAAAGAGGTAAGTGACATATTTTCTCTTTAAAATCTTCAATTATTTCTAGTTAAGTCAAAACCAAATATTCAAATTTTACAGAGTTATACTCTCCAAAGAGAGCGTTACATTAGCATCAAATAAATCTCTATGATTCTCATATATATATATATATATATATAACTAGTCGTATGCCTGCACGTTGTGCGGACAATTAACACTTACAAATAATTGATATAAATTAAATTTTATTAAAAAATATAAATAAATTAATATGATAAAAAGATAATATTTGTCAATTACCTTTTTTATAACAAAAACTACTAATCCAAATTTTTTTATATATTTAAAAAGTGATAAAAAAATTCTATACTAACAAATTAAAAACAATAAACTCACTTTCTTAGTTAAAATTAAAACAATAAATATAAATATTGCTTTTACAAATTAAAACAAATGCTCAAACCATAAAATTATCTGAATAGAAAAAGAAATAAATTTCATGAATCGTTAATCATAGGTGTCTTTTGCTCAAAGTATTAATTTTTATCGCTGTCTAAAAATAATAAGAATTTATGTGATAAATTTATTAGATATATTACTCATATACATAGTACTCAAAAGGAAGTTAGGATTTAGAAAAAAAAAAAGAAAATATAAATTATAAAATAAAAAAAATGTTATATCAGGAAGTTAGGATTTAGAAAAAAAAAAAGAAAATATAAATTATAAAATAAAAAAAATGTTATATCAATTTATAGTGTGATTATTAATTATTGAAAAAACTAATTAGTGTTCTCTTATTGTTACAAAAATTTATTATTTGGATCGTTAATTATTGTAAAAGAAAAAAATGAAGAGTTTTTTATTAATAAAATAAATTTATTATATGGTTATTAATTATTGAATAAAGAAAATGAAAAGTTTTATAAATTTGATTAGATGGTCTCCCACACTTTGCATGGAGGTATAGTATACATTCTTTTTATTTGAAATGTTAGACATGTTTGCTGATTAAATTTTAGGAAATCAAAATTTTTTTTTTGCAGATGTTACATGCACTTAGCAAATTAAATGGTTGTTACATTGCACTTAGCAAATTTGAAAAAAATGGTTGGATAATTTATAAACTGCAGTTATTTATTAATCTTAAAATGGTTTAAGCTTCTTTTAATTCCCTTATAATGATTATAGATAAAATAGTTAAGGATATAATGTTAATTAATTTAAAATGTAAGCTTCTTTATTCCTTATAATGATTTAGATAAAATAGTTAGAATATGTAGATATTGTTAGATTTTTAAATGTGAAGAATCTCTTATTTTTATATAGAATTAAAAGAATTTTAATTATATATAAGAACAAAAAAAATTTTGCATAAAACATCAAAATATAAGCAAGCTTGAGTATAGGTTAGAAAATTGGATTACAAAGTCAATTAGTTTTATTCATTTTCGTTCGATTCAGGTTGTTAATTTATTTTAGTTTGATTTTAGGTAATCCAACTTTTGTTCTTAAATTTTAGAACTTATAAAAAAATAAATAAGTAAATTTCTTCGAAGGCCATAATTGAATTTAAAACTCATAAGATTGAAGAACAAATCATAATTAAATAATAAATGAGAGATAGAAAAAAGTAATTAAAAAAAAGAGAAATATTGAAAATTTCTCAAACAAGATAAATGAAAATGCTAAAATGTTCGATAATTTCACTTTTCTAAGGAAGTGTCACATCAACACATTGCAAAATCTCTATGTTTCTCCTTTATAATGATATAATGATCATTCGAGAAATCTAAATTTTATATGATTAAACTATAATTAATTATGTGCCAAGTATGTATATGCAAGTAGCATGAACAACTCATATGATAATTCCAAATTTTTTTTAAAAAAAAAAGCTAAAATTGTAAAACAGATAAAGTTCGGGCTTTTTTCTTTTAGCCTTTTTTTTATTGATGTGGCATAGTGATGTGGTGCTAATGTGTTATAGCCTCTATTATTTTTTGGCAGAATACATGGTTTATCAGTGCATGGTTTATCAGTATAATTAATATCTTTTCATCATTAATGTTCTGATTTAGCAATTAAGCATGGATTGTGTCTTCTTTACTAAATCATGTTAATTCTCTTAATCTCAACTATTGATCATTTAAATGAAATGTAACAGTCTGATTTTCTTTTAGTGTCGGTAATAGTGATTTACCGATCTGTGAATAGTACCATCGGTCTGGGACTTGGTATTATTTTAGTCCGACCGATCTTGTGAATAAGTACCCGGTCTGGGACTTGGTATGTATTTTAGGTCCCGCGGAAAAATTAACTTAGGAATTTCCTGTATATATTATTTTTTTTAAAATGTTAATCTACTTGCCTCCTTATGAAATCTAACACACTTTCTAAATTTGTGGTATGAAAATCTAACCACTTCTAATTTGTGATCTAGCTTTAATAAGTGACATAAGACGGTGCTCCGGCACCGATTGTGGTATCCGCCGTCTGGTTCTCTGGGATTGGCCGGTGGGTGTTACATGAAATTTCATATATAATTTGCTAATTTCATTCTACATTGCACGAGGATTTCTTAATCAATTCTAATAGAGAACAATTAGAACATTTTTCCAAATTTACCCAGGTGATGAATCCTATCTTAATTACAAGTATCTCTATATAATTTCTACTATATTTAATTAATCATTGCTTATTATCTATAAATGAATAATGTGAATGAATAATCAAAACATAATTATCCACACAAGATAGCTTAGTAATTTTAAGTCAAACGATCATTTACACAACTATCACTTAAGTATTCCATAGCCTATTCAATGTGCATCATCAATTATCCACACAAGATAGCTTAGTAAAATTTTAAGTCAAACGATCAATTTACAACAACATATCGACTTAGTATCGTGACTCCGATACATACGACATTGGTAACTCTCCAAATAGAATTCTCATGCAGGTCAATTTTTAGTTGAACTTGTTTGAATAATGTGAATGAATAATCAAAACATAATTATCCACACAAGATAGCTTAGTAATTTTAAGTCAAACGATCATTTACACAACTATCACTTAAGTATTCCATAGACACAGGTAACTCTCCAAATAAAATTCTCATGCAGGTCAATTTAGTGAACTTGTTCAAATAACAAGCACCTACATATTAGTTCTAGATATCACATATATCTCAACTTATAAGAATAACTGCTTCCCTTCACAAAGGAAAGAACATAATATGTGTCAGTCTCAACAACTATAATAATCGTCCATTAATGAGGGAAAAATTGATCAGAAATATTTAGAGACATTAATTTAATGCAAAATAAAACTCATAATTTTAATCACATTATAATTTATTTCATAAATGCAATTTTTGATTTTGAGACGTCATTGTTCGTATGAATCAATTTTCAGCTTCTTTTTGACAAATTATTTTATTGTTCTAGCCCGTTTTAAATGCGATTTTGATTTTCCATATATCATTGGAAAGCTCAAATTTCTAATTTCTAATATAACTTGAATCACTCAAAAATTTCATTTATAGCTTGAGATATGACCAACTAA